TCCAGAGTTGATAGGGTGAAAGTATTTGTCTTTTTAAACAATAATTCGAAGAGCAAAAAAATCCAGAGTTGATAGGCTGATAGTTTATGTCTTGTTAAACAATAATTCGAAGAGCAAAAAAAAATCCAGAATTTATAGGCTGATAGTTTATGTCTTGTTAAACAATAATTCGTAGAGCAAAAAAATCCAGAGTTTATAGGCTGATAGTTTATGTCTTGTTAAACAATAATTCGAAGAGCAAAAAAATCCAGAGTTGATAGGGTGATAGTATATGTCTTGTTAAACAATAATTCGTAGAGCAAAAAAATCCAGAGTTGATAGGGTGAAAGTATTTGTCTTTTTAAACAATAATTCGAAGAGCACAAAAATCCAGAGTTGATAGGCTGATAGTTTATGTCTTGTTAAACAATAATTCGAAGAGCAAAAAAATCCAGAGTTGATAGGGTGAAAGTATTTGTCTTTTTAAACAATAATTCGAAGAGCAAAAAAATCCAGAGTTGATAGGGTGAAAGTTTATGTCTTGTTAAACAATAATTCGAAGAGCAATAAAATCCAGAGTTGATAGGGTGATAGTTTATATCTTGTTGAACAATAATTCGAAGAGCAAAATATCCAGAGTTGATAGGGTGAAAGCATTTGTCTTTTTAAACAATAATTCGAAGAGCAAAAAAATCCAGAGTTGATAGGGTGAAAGTTTATGTCTTGTTAAACATTAATTTGAAGAGCAAAAAAATCCAGAGTTGATAGGGTGAAAGTTTATATCTTGTTGAACAATAATTCGAAGAGCAAAAAAATCCAGAGTTGATAGGGTGAAAGTATTTGTCTTTTTAAACAATAATTCGAAGAGCAAAAAAATCCAGAGTTGATAGGCTGATAGTTTATGTCTTGTTAAACAATAATTCGAAGAGCAAAAAAAAATCCAGAATTTATAGGCTGACAGTTTATGCCTTGTTAAACAATAATTCGTAGAGCAAAAAAATCCAGAGTTTATAGGCTGATAGTTTATGTCTTGTTAAACAATAATTCGAAGAGCAAAAAAATCCAGAGTTGATAGGGTGATAGTATATGTCTTGTTAAACAATAATTCGTAGAGCAAAAAAATCCAGAGTTGATAGGGTGAAAGTATTTGTCTTTTTAAACAATAATTCGAAGAGCAAAATATCCAGAGTTGATAGGGTGAAAGCATTTGTCTTTTTAAACAATAATTCGAAGAGCAAAAAAATCCAGAGTTGATAGGGTGAAAGTTTATGTCTTGTTAAACATTAATTTGAAGAGCAAAAAAATCCAGAGTTGATAGGGTGAAAGTTTATATCTTGTTGAACAATAATTCGAAGAGCAAAAAAATCCAGAGTTGATAGGGTGAAAGTATTTGTCTTTTTAAACAATAATTCGAAGAGCAAAAAAATCCAGAGTTGATAGGCTGATAGTTTATGTCTTGTTAAACAATAATTCGAAGAGCAAAAAAAAATCCAGAATTTATAGGCTGATAGTTTATGTCTTGTTAAACAATAATTCGTAGAGCAAAAAAATCCAGAGTTTATAGGCTGATAGTTTATGTCTTGTTAAACAATAATTCGAAGAGCAAAAAAATCCAGAGTTGATAGGGTGATAGTATATGTCTTGTTAAACAATAATTCGTAGAGCAAAAAAATCCAGAGTTGATAGGGTGAAAGTATTTGTCTTTTTAAACAATAATTCGAAGAGCACAAAAATCCAGAGTTGATAGGCTGATAGTTTATGTCTTGTTAAACAATAATTCGAAGAGCAAAAAAATCCAGAGTTGATAGGGTGAAAGTATTTGTCTTTTTAAACAATAATTCGAAGAGCAAAAAAATCCAGAGTTGATAGGGTGAAAGTTTATGTCTTGTTAAACAATAATTCGAAGAGCAATAAAATCCAGAGTTGATAGGGTGATAGTTTATATCTTGTTGAACAATAATTCGAAGAGCAAAATATCCAGAGTTGATAGGGTGAAAGCATTTGTCTTTTTAAACAATAATTCGAAGAGCAAAAAAATCCAGAGTTGATAGGGTGAAAGTTTATGTCTTGTTAAACATTAATTTGAAGAGCAAAAAAATCCAGAGTTGATAGGGTGAAAGTTTATATCTTGTTGAACAATAATTCGAAGAGCAAAAAAATCCAGAGTTGATAGGGTGAAAGTATTTGTCTTTTTAAACAATAATTCGAAGAGCAAAAAAATCCAGAGTTGATAGGCTGATAGTTTATGTCTTGTTAAACAATAATTCGAAGAGCAAAAAAAAATCCAGAATTTATAGGCTGATAGTTTATGTCTTGTTAAACAATAATTCGTAGAGCAAAAAAATCCAGAGTTTATAGGCTGATAGTTTATGTCTTGTTAAACAATAATTCGAAGAGCAAAAAAATCCAGAGTTGATAGGGTGATAGTATATGTCTTGTTAAACAATAATTCGTAGAGCAAAAAAATCCAGAGTTGATAGGGTGAAAGTATTTGTCTTTTTAAACAATAATTCGAAGAGCACAAAAATCCAGAGTTGATAGGCTGATAGTTTATGTCTTGTTAAACAATAATTCGAAGAGCAAAAAAATCCAGAGTTGATAGGGTGAAAGTATTTGTCTTTTTAAACAATAATTCGAAGAGCAAAAAAATCCAGAGTTGATAGGGTGAAAGTTTATGTCTTGTTAAACAATAATTCGAAGAGCAAAAAAATCCAGACTACATAGGGTTAAAGTTATTGTCTTGTTAAACAATAATTCGAAGAGCAAAAAAATCCAGAGTTGATAGGGTAAAAGTTTATGTCTTTTTAAACAATAATTCGAAGAGCAAAAAAATCCAGAGTTGATAGGCTGATAGTTTATGTCTTGTTAAACAATAATTCGAAGAGCAAAAAAATCCAGACTACATAGGGTGAAAGTTTATATCTTGTTGAACAATAATTCGAAGAGCAAAAAAATCCAGAGTTGATAGGCTGATAGTTTATGTCTTGTTAAACAATAATTCGAAGAGCAAAAAAATCCAGAGTTGATAGGGTGAAAGTATTTGTCTTTTTAAACAATAATTCGAAGAGCAAAAAAATCCAGAGTTGATAGGGTGAAAGTTTATGTCTTGTTAAACAATAATTCGAAGAGCAAAAAAATCCAGACTACATAGGGTTAAAGTTATTGTCTTGTTAAACAATAATTCGAAGAGCAAAAAAATCCAGAGTTGATAGGGTAAAAGTTTATGTCTTTTTAAACAATAATTCGAAGAGCAAAAAAATCCAGAGTTGATAGGCTGATAGTTTATGTCTTGTTAAACAATAATTCGAAGAGCGAAAAAATCCAGACTACATAGGGTGAAAGTTTATATCTTGTTGAACAATAATTCGAAGAGCAAAAAAATCCAGAGTTGATAGGGTGAAAGTTTATATCTTGTTGAACAATAATTCGAAGAGCAAAAAAATCCAGAGTTGATAGGGCGATAGTATAATTCTTGTTAAACAATAATTCGAAGAGCAAAAAAATCCAGAGTTGATAGGGTGCAAGTTTATGTCTTGTTAATCAATAATTCGAAGAGCAAAAAAATCCTGAGTTGATAGGGTGATAGTATATGTCTTGTTAAACAATATTTTGAAGAACAAAGAAAGTCAAACTTTATGAGGTGACAGTATAGGTCTTGTTAAACAATAATGCAATGAGCAAAAAACTAATTTGAAAAAAAAAAATTTCCAAGGTTTGATTTTTGTTGAAGGGTTGCATTTGGAAAATCGATTTATATCTCATTTGATAGCAAAAAAAAGCAAAAAAATATGGTGTAGTGGAATATGCAAAAAAACCATGTTTTAGTGCAAACCGCGCTGAGTTGACCGCAAGCTAGCGCGGTCCTTCTATCTCGGAAACAGTTGGAGCAAAAAAATCGTTCTCTTCGGCTAAAAATAGCAAAAAAAGAGCAAAAAAATATGGTGATACTGATTTTCAAATTTTCGAAAGTGGCGCCGCTGAGTGGTCTCACCTTGCATAATTGCTTTCTTCCCGCATCAGTTAGACGAATTTCTTTCAGTAAATCCTTTCCACTTTTTATTTTATTTTTATTATTATTTTTACTTATTTATAAAACATTTTTACTATCAGCCACTCAATTATTTTTCAAAAATTATAATAATTAGTTTAAAGCAAAATTCCAATTTTTATTTTTACATAACCAAAATTGCTTTATTTAAGGATTACCTTATTTAATAAAAATAAGAAATAGTGAAATTCCAGAAAATATTTTCTCAAGAAAAGAAATAACTAAATTATTTCTTTAGTTTTAATTGTTTAATTTTAATAGATAAACTTTATTTTTAAACTTATAAAAATTATACTACAATGCTAGCAGTGTTTATTATTGTGAAAGGTAAACTTCTCCTTAAAAAAAATAAAGCAATCAAAAAAATTGTTAACAAAAAATTCGATTCTTTGAAATTAAGAAGTTTTATTCTTAAACATGAGTATCATGGAAAAATTTCTAATATATTTAAAACCTTTTTCAAATATATTATTCATGAAATGTATAGTCTTAACTATTACTTTGGTTTTTTTTGTTATTAATATAGTACCTAATTATAGTTCTACAACCTATCTGAGTAGTAGGGCTATGCCGGTTCTAAAACAGTTTGACCTTGAAACCCTTTTTTCAACCCTCTTGGCCCCCCACCACCCCCTAATTTGCATATTAACCCTTTTATTCACCACCCACCACCCCCTAATTTGCACATTAACCCTTTTATTCACCACCCACCACCCCCTAATTTGCATATTAACTCTTTTGATCAACCCCACCACCCCTTACCACCCACTTTCAACCCTGTTGGCCACCCACCTTTTGAATTTTAACCCTTTTGGGTTATATATATCTACAACAATCCTCTTCAGAGGTCTCATTCCAGTACAAAACTTTGTTGAAGAAGCATTACCAAGAGCATCAGTGTAAGTTAATCTTATTTATATTTTCTTATGTATAAATTATATCAAATTAATCATAATCCTTTTTTTCTGTTATAGATTCAAAAAATTAGCAAGTTAATCTTCTTACAAGAGACAAACATTCTTTTGTATTGCCAAATTGTGTAGCAGCATTGTAAGTTTACTCAATTTACATGTCTTTCGCAAACATTTATCTTAATATGCATCAAATTGATTGTAATTTTATTTCTGTTTCAGTTATACTTAAACGAGCAAAGTGAAGCTTCGCAACATCGTATTCGGCAGACATCTTTAAAAAGCAGTTGTCATCGAAGACTATACCCCACCCCACTCCCTTCACTTCCACTACTTCCTTTCCAACTTATTCCAAATTCTCTTCATAGGTTTTTCAGACTTTTTAGGTTATTTTCAGCATTCTTTTCAGATTTTTCAGCTTTTTCCTCATACAATCTTTTTCAGAATTTAAAATAAAAATTGCTAATCGTAGAAATATCGAAACATCTAAACCATACACCTCTATTGATAGTTTCAATGAGATTTGTGAAGCCTTAGACAATTTCATTGATGCTGCCAATATAGAGTTATGCTCTAGAAAATCCGATGACGATCGACTCATCACGTTTCAATAGCATCACAAGTCTATACAAAATTATGCAATTTTAATTAAATTTTTTAGAAAATATAGCTTCTCAGTTCCTCAAAACCATAGGATCTTAACGTTATTACATCATATAAATTACTTGAAATGCCACTTTCATTCGCTGATGAAGCGCGGTGCAGGACTTAATCAAATAAAAAAAATTAAATGGGCTCTAACTATTTCGGCTTTTAATAATCGATTACAAACCGGTACAGTCATTAATTTAAGTCACTTAGATGTTAATGAATTTTTAGATGATGCCTTTGTTCCTTTTGAAAATCACATTAAAACTTGCTTAGACACGTTCGGTCCATTGAAAGTATATACAGTATTCAATGCAAAATATAAAACGCTTTTACCCGACGGTACTACAGAATTCGATATAAAATATTTCATTAATAAGTCAGAGTCAATTTTCCCTTCAACTGAGTTACGCGATTGGTATAATGATTATGTAAAGCAGAAAACACTTAATGAAATTGAAGATTTTCAAGATAAAGAATCAAATTATCAACTCTATTCAATCCATAGATTAGATGTCAATATTAACAAATACAATCCTTTGCGTGTTGGTTCTTTCATTGATCTACCGCCATCTATTAAAGCTCAACGTGCTTGTGACAATGTCAGAAATGAAGAGGATAATGAATGCTTCAAGTGGGCAATATTATCGGCATTGTATGGAGCTTCGTCAAACCCATCTCGTTTGCAAAACTATCAAAATATTCAACATCAATTAAATTTTGCTGATATTAAATCCCCAGTAGCGCTCAATGACATTGCAAAATTTAAGAGGCTAAATAATATTTCAGTAAACGTTTATTGCCTTGTTAAACAAAATGGTAATTTCACTCTCTCCCCAATACATCTAACATCACAGAAACAGTCCAAACATGTAAATCTTTTACGCGTTGATGATCATTATATTGATAAGGATGAAGAAGAAAAACAATCCCCAATTTCAACCAACTACCACTATGTTTGGATAAAAAACTTATCTCGACTAATAAATAATCAAGTGTCAAAAAATGAACATAAGTTATTTATTTGCGATCGCTGTCTGCAATATTTCAGAAGTAATGAGAAACTTTCCGAACACGTTGAAGATTGTCAGAAAATCAACAATACCAAAATCGTCTTACCGAAACCTGAATGTAATAGTATTGAATTCAAGAACTTCAGTAACAATGAAAGAGTACCATTCATCGTATATGCAGATTGTGAGAGCCTATTAATTCCAGATGAAAATTTTTCATGACACCATGGGGTGTCACACAGAAGTTGTTCAACAACATCAACTTCTAAGCATTGGATTCTATTTAAAGATTTATGATGACTCTTTAAATGAGTACAGAGCATCACCCAAGGATGAAGAAGATCCAGCAAGATGGTTTGCGAACGAGTTAAAAAAGTTGTCGGAAGAAATTGAACCCACATTTATGGTAAATATTGCATGGAGTAGTAAAAGTTAGAGATCATAGTCATCTAACCGGAAGTTATCGAGGTGCAGCCCATCAAGATTGTAATGTGAATTATTAAGATTCCAGAATAATTCCTGTAGTCTTCCATAGTTTAAGTGGTTATGATGCGCACTTTATCATTAAAGCAATCGCTAATGAGTTTGAAGGTAAAGTTGACGTCCTTCCCATTAATAAGGAAAAATATATTAGCTTTACCAAACATGTTCAAACAAGTCACGTTAAATTTAGATTCATTGATTCATTTAGATTTATGGTATCATCTTTAGACAAATTAGCATCTTATCTGAATGAATATAAAATTGTTAAATCTAACTTTCCCGCCTATAGTGATGATAGAGTTCATTTGCTTACTCGCAAAGAATTTTTTCCTTATGAGTATCTCGACTCTAAGGAAAAACTTGAAGAAACTCAGTTACCCCAAAAAGAGCACTTTTATAGTACACTGAATGATTCAAATATATCAGATCAAGAATATTTACATGCTCAGCAAGTATGGTCAGAATTCGATTGTATGGTGATTGGTGATTTCAAGTCGGTTATGAATTTTGACAATAGCTTTAATTTTAATGTGGCAGACGATTCAAATATAGGTTATATTTTTGAAGTTGATTTAGATTATCCTAAAGAACTACATAATATGCATAATGATTTCCCATTTTGTCCTGAACACTTGAAACCACGAGGGTCAAAGCAAGAAAAGCTTTTAACTACTCTCCAACCGAAACAAATATACATTCTCCATTATCGTGCACTTAACCCTTTCAGGGGCACATTATTCTAAGCATACAAATTTTTGTTTCATTATATTTTTAAAAAGTCGTCCGCCATATTGGATCCGCCATTTTGAATTTTGAAAAACTGACCTCAGATTCGTAATCAGGGACCCCAAAAACCCCCGAGTAAAGATTTTCAAAGTCGTAGCACTTCGCGTTTACAAATAGCTGAATTAATTATTAAAAAAATGCATATTTTTCAGATTGATGGAATAATATTAAGTTAACAATAATAAATTATTCATAAACAATATTATAGATTCGTTATATTATATCCTTAGAATCTAAAAATAAGAAATATATGATTATTATTAGATAAATATGCCGGAAATACCAAAAATACAACAACAAAAAAGGTGGGACATATACGTCCCACTGCCCCTGAAAGGGTTAAACAAGCACTAGCCAATGGACTTAAATTGGTTCACATCCATCGAATTTTAAAATTTAAACAGTCCACTTGGCTTAAAGATTATGTAGATTTCAATACTAGTCAACGAACAAAGGCTAATAATGAATTCGAGAAAAACTTGTTTAAACTAATGAACAATGCGGTGTATGGCAAGAAAATGGAGAATGTACGTAATCATGTAAACGTTAAACTTGTGACAAAGTGCGAGGGTAGGTATGGGGCAGAAGCTTTGATTGTTAAACCTAACTTCCACAAAAGAGCCATCTTTAGTGAAAATTTAATAGCTGTGGAAATTAGGAAGACTGAGGTGTACATGAAAAAAAAAATTAAAAAGGTCTTAGCGTGTTAGGCATATCAAAAACTCTGCTGTATAATTTCCAGTATGATTATATGAGGAAAAAGTATGGAAATAATTGTAAATTGATTTACACTGACACTGACAGCCTTATTTATAATATGAAATGTGAGGATGTCTATTCTGATATGAAAGCAGACATTTTCAAATTATTGATACTTCTGATTATCCTATGAATAATTTATATAGCATTCCGCAAGCCAACAAAAAAGTGTTAGGTCCTATGAAAGACGAGGATTGGAGGATTGTCACTGAATTTGGTGGTTTACGTAGTAAAATGTATAGTTTACGTGTGGATAATCAAGATTTCTTAAAAAAGGCAAAAGGTGTAAAGTCTAATGTAGATAAGAATCATATAATTTTTAATGATTGTTTAAACATTTATTGTTTAAAAAATATTACAATTCAATCTCGAACTCAATATTCCATTCGTTCCAAACTCCACAAGGTCTTTACTTTAAAACAGAAAAAAATAGCTCTAACAATAAGTCCCTACGATGACAAAAGATTTTTATCGATTTTGCTATACACATTGGTTTTTAAATAAATGAAATTTTTTTCTATATACACTGAAACTTTGTCTACTTTTATTTAATAGAACCTTAATATAGTTTAACAGTTAGGAAATAAAGAAATTCACTAAATAGTTTACATTTTTATACAAATTTTATTTAAAAATAACTTTAATATAAATACAATACATTATTACATTTTAGGTTAACATTACTACAAAGTCAGTTTAACTTTTCTTTAACTTTTTTCAAAAGTTAACTTTAACTTTCTTACAAATTACATGCTGTTTACATATAACTTTTAGAAAAGTTAACTTTAACTTCTAGAAAATTTTAAATTTCTGATTTATTTATCCAACTATTGTGAGAATTATCGAATCCAAGCCATTTTACATAGACTTTATTATGACGATTTTTGAGAACTTTCTCTACAAGATAAACATCTGAATATTTGACTTTGGAAATTTCTTCTTCATAGAAACCACCTTCGATGGGTTGATTTTGATAATCCTTCAGCTTGTATGATTTTACTTGAGTGATCATCTTGAAATATGATTGCTTTTGAACAAGGAATGCGTCTAAAGCGTGCATCATAACTTTGATTTCGTGCTCACTGAAATCCTCCTTCAGCACTTTGCGCAATATTGGCGCATCCTTTACTTTCCTCTCACTCATCATACAAATTACTCCTTCATAATTGTTTTTGTGCTATAAAATGCATCTGGGTGAATTGTTTTCAAATCAGACCACAGAAATTCTGTGGTCTGATTTGCAGTAGAAGAAGATTGAAGAAGAGTCTTAGACTCTACAATATTTGAGCGTTCTTCAAAAGATATTGCTTTCGCAACGATGTTCTAGATTTAATTCTGCTAAAAAGTCTCTAATATCCGGAATCCTGCAGAAGCATTTTTCTCTTTCCTTTATCTTTTCTTCCACTTCTTCTGCAATGTAAATTTTTCAGTTAATTGTGATTTTATCTTAAAAATATTTGGGTCAAATATTTTTAAGATAAAATCATACCTGAAATTTGTGGTTCCTCTTGAAATTTCCGAATTATTCTTGGCGCAGTGTACGCGAAAGTGATGCCGGGTATAGCGACAAGAAGCTGTTGCCACATTAACTCGGAATTTATATCATTTATAGCATCCACGTCTTTCGTAAAAATTTGTGGAACACTGTACACGAGTGTCCATCCTGGTAAATCCGCCGTAATCGTTGGTCCCGCTTCAGAAGAATGTGTTTTCGAAACTGCAATCAAAAAGTTGAAATTGTAGAAACTTTTTACATACATACAGAGTCATTGATGTTAAAAAAGGGTTTTAATATCAGTGACTCTGATGATTTTTTGTAAACAAAATAATACTTGGATATTTTGCGGCTTCCGATGCATTTTCGGGTTCAGTTTCGGCTTCAATTTCCGGTGCTGTTTCGGTTGCATTTTCGGCTGCAGTTTCGGATGCAGTTTTGCAGGACGCTTTGCTGCACGTTCCTTTGCTCGTTTGACTGCTAATTCTTCTGTTATTGTAAAAAGATTAGTCCACATTTATACTTTGAGTATATTCGAAGAATAATTTGGGTTAAATTATTTTTTAGACATATTCAGAATAAAAATGTGTACTATTACCGTTTAAATGCGGTTGTGCAATTTGACAGGATTCCCGCTTTATGACAATTAATTTGGGCGTATTTAATTCAAACATTTGATTCAACAATGAATCGTATAATGACAATTGATACGGATTCAATTGCAGCAGCATTGCTATTTTTTTGTCTTTATTCAAAAAACACTGTGCATATTCGCTATTTTTTGTATCAAAATACAAAAACATTACTTGTTTCGCCAAATCCATTATATAGTTGAAGTGTATTGACCACTTTTTGCGAAAAAACTGTAACAAATAATAATTATGTTGCAGAATCGCCAGAAACAAAGAAAATTCTTTGCTTTGGGTGATTCTGCAAATAGGGTTATCTCGCAGAATCACCAGAAACAAAGAAAATTGTGATTTTGCAAAATAGGGTTATCTTGGAAAATCGCCAGAAACAAAGAAAATTCTTTGCTTTGGGTGATTCTGCAAAATAGGGTTATTTTGAAGAATCACCAGAAACAAAGAAACAAATTTACTTACCAATTCCGGATTTGAAAAATTATATTTATTTTTCTTGATTTTCATTAATTTTTTTTTCAAAAAATTAGTAAAAATCAATTTTCTTTCTTCCTTCTCGTTGTTTCTCTCCTTCCTTCTCTCATTTTCCTTCTTTATCATATCTCTTTCTATCTTCTTCTTCATCTTCATTATCGCCTCCTTTATTTTCATTTTCTCCTCCATCTTCTTCTGCTCCATCCTATACCTTTCCTGCTCTTTTTCCATTTCCACCTGTTCTGCTTCCATTTTCACCTGTTCTGTTTCCATTTCCACCTGTTCTGTTTCCATTTCCATCTGTTCTGTTTCCATTTCTTCTTCCCCTTCGAAAAATAACTCCTCATTTTCGAAATTCCGCAAAAATGCAAGGAGGGTTTCAATTTTGTTGGAATTGAAAATTATATTCCAGATGAAAATAAATTGCTCCTTCGTGAGACATCGGAATGTTGTCCGGAAGAAAAGAGCAGGTGAATAGAGGAGATGTTTCGCCAAAGTGTCATGTTTCACATTGTACGGGGTTAACAATATGTCACATAATTTTTTGTGAAATTAAATTTAAACGAATGAATTCTGTTGCCGTCTTTGCATTGATAACTTAAAATGTCAATTTCATTCTGTGATGGTACTAATAGACTTGTTTCTTCAGCAAATATATTCGTGTTTGATTGATTTGTTGAATCTGGAATAAAGAATGTTAATAAAATTAGAGTCACCAAAATTAAAATAGGGTTGTAATTTCGGTGACATAGATTTTTTAACCTATAATAATAATAAAAACAAATTACCATCATCTATGTTAATTTTGTCATTTAACACGCTCATATAGAAACTGTCGTCTATGTCTGAAAAAAGTCGGCGACAGAGGTCCAACTTATCATCAAAATTTGTAGGTTCCTCTATAGGAAAAATTCTCCCTTTCCAAATGTCCTTTCTCAAATGTATTAATATTATGGAAAACGCATCCTCCATATAGGACAACCCTTTCTCGAAACAGTGAACTCTAACAAATATATAAATAAATATAACAGTACAATAACTAACAATGAAACAGATTATTAAACAACAAGTTTATAAAATTAGTTTACGCTTACCGTCCTTTCTTCATTGCTGCAGCGATTTGAAAAGCCGTTAAACAATTTGAAATTCATACGTCACTAACAACATATATATATAACATATATATAACATATGTATAACATATATAGAACATATATATATATATATATATATATATATATATATAACATATATATATGCACTCAGTCTGGTAAAAGAAATTCTTTAACCACGGTGAGGCTGGAGTTAATAACAATTTTTTTAATTGTTAATAACAATTAAAAATTTATTATTAACTCCGGAGTCACCGTGGTTAAAGAATTTCTTTAACCAGACTGAGTGCACAAAAGCAGTAAATTTTCCAAGTCCTTACTCGCCGCTGCTACATCAAAACTTTAACGATGGTGAGCCCTATAATTTTTAAATAATCCCGCCAAGTACACGTGCTGCCATCGTTTGTAGATAATGTCATTTTCTCTTTGCTCTGTGGTCAGGAAATGTAGGAACATGTTCTCACCATAGAGCAAAAAGAAAATGACATCTACAAACGATGGCAGCACATGTACTTGGCGGGATTATTTAAAAATTATAGGGCTCACCATCGTTAAAGTTTTGATGTAGCAGCGGCGAGTAAGGACTTGGAAAATTTACTGCTTATGTGCACTCAGTTTGGTTAAAGAAATTCTTTAACCACGGTGAGGCTGGAGTTAAAAACAATTTTTTAACTGTTAATAATAATTTTCAAACTTCCCTTTGGGTGGAAATGAGAGAGTAGGTTAAATCTTCAATTTAAGCCATTAGTTGCAAAAATTTGTTGATATTAAAAAAAGTTGTGTCTCATATATTTATCAGGAGTATCTTGTATAGGTTAATTGTATAAGTACAGTAAGACATTCCTGAGTAATATTTGAAACACAACTTTTTTTAATATCAACAAATTATTGCAACTAATGGCTTAAATTGAAGATAGATACCTACTCTCTCCTTTCCACCCCAAGGGAAGTTCGAAAATTGTTATTAACAATTAAAAAATTGTTTTTAACTCCAGCCTCACCGTGGTTAAAGAATTTCTTTAATCAGACTGAGTGCACATAAGCAGTAAATTTTCCAGGTACACCCGTAGTAAAGAAATTTTTTAGTTTAAGTGATTATACTCACAAGCAGCAACTAAATCTGCTTGCCAGGTTTCATCAATTCCACGCATTTCTACTTTCGACGTGGATAATTTCTCCTAGCTTGCCTATGTTACTCTGTCACAACTGTTAACTTTTTATCATCCATGATCAAGGATTTGTAACAAAAAATGATCTTGATAGAACAATATTCAATATAATAATGATCTTGATTTTACAAGTTCACTCTTAATATATAATTTGAGCTTCCCGTAATTCTTCAATTATTGACATAATTTCATTGTTATGACTTGAATTGCCAGCCTGTTGTGATGCGACAAGTAAGCGTAGACGATCAACAATCTCGTTTGGATCATCCCAATAGACATAGTCTGGATATGATTCTTTCTTCATAGTCATAAATTGCGGTAATTGAGTTTTTCTCTTCAAATAAGAATCTCCAGATTTGAGCAAAAGTTTTGCAATAACATTAGTATATTTGAAAGTCTTATTACTACGAATAGGTTTATTTGGGCTATAGTTCTTTCTATATGCATTCGTACTACGCAGGATTTCTTTATAGTTTACGAAATCATTAGCATTTGTTAACTTCTGATTAGGTTTTTGACAGAATATGAGTTCCAATAATATGAGTTTTAGAATATTTTTTCTTCCCAACTAGGTTAATGTAAGAACCTTCAAAATTAATTTGCGTATCACCAATAATATATATGTACCGTCGGGAAGTTTACGTACTCCATAAACCATATCTATATATCGTTTCCTATTTTTGTCCAACATTTGTAGAAATTTCTTTGTTAATTTATCAGAATCTTCTTCTTCGTCTATAGTATCAATCACATTACTTGTGTGTTTAATATTATACATGTCTTGCTCATGAAAGGCATCATTAAGTATATTATTTTGCTCATTAACAATAATATTATGATTCTCTTGATTGGGCAATCTATCAATTATATTTTCTTTTGATAAATTTTGCATGTCTTCTTCTTCTTCATAAATAGGATCATAAAACGTTACATCATCATTTTAAATAGATTTGTTGAAAGGTGTATCTTTACTAATGGCCACTTAAGAATACGATGCTTTCGACGTATAGCATCACTTGCTGCAGCTATTTGATGTAGTGTCTCTCGCTCCTTTCGAAACATGTTTATTTATGAAAGTCTTAAACTGAACTAATGCAATTCTGTTGAAATGCTTAATATTTATAACTGAATAAAGCAATCAAATCCCTTCCTATATCTTCCATCATTTATATTTCTGTCTTTATCAATAACTACAAATCCATATCTGTCAGAGTTCCAACATACTGAACATAAATCTCGAAACTGTGTAAACGTCATATCTGTATTAACATGATCATTGTAAACATGCTTGAGATTCCTTTCATCTTGTCTGAATAGCACAAGCAAATTAATATTATCTCTAACAAGATGTTTTGGAATATGAGCATATGTTTGACAAAGATAAAAACTATCGACGTTAACATGTCGCCCCATACAAAAAAACGCTTTAACATTGTCCTGCTTCTCACAAGCGATATCATCAAAAATGAAAATTGAATTAGTTTTTGCATCTTTATGTGTAACAACTTGTTCATGTTCACTGAATGGGAAAAACTCGATGCCATCTACTTTACTAAGTACTTGTTCCAAAAAGTTATATTTCGGCTGCTGTAATGATTTTGAATATAAATATATATTTTCAAATCCTAAACCATTCGGATGTATAATCAGAGAAAGAAGTGCATTCGTTTTTCCACAATTTGAAGGTCCACAAAAAGCTGCTCGAATACTATTTGAAAATAAACTTCCATGTCGTTTAACCCCATTATCTCTAGTTTCAATGAGGTTATCCACATTTGCAATCGGGAGTTGTACAGCTTGTACCTTGAACTGCATTTTGGAATTGACTAACGAAAAAAACTATAAATACTCCACTTATATAGTTGCCCTCAATCAGTTGGTTATAGACCATTGTCGAGTGAGGAATGATTACTCACGATAAATATAATTTATTTATTTTTTTTTTTTTGTCGTACGATCAAATTAAGCATTAGACATACATAATTCTGACGTTTCGGCACATGTTGAGTGCCTTCTTCAGAGTAAATTATAAACCTATAAATACATAATATTTTTTATATAAACTAAAATATAATTAGAATAAATTGTCACAAAATTGAAAACAAAAAATTTTTAGGTTAACTTACAAGTGTTTCTGTTTTTTAAAGCATAAAATAAAATTTAAGAAAAATTAAAAGAGAAAACATTGTGAGAGATTTTGTGAGAATGGCCAAGGAAGATAAACTATCTCCTGGTCCATTTTTCTTTTCGTTGACATGTTTCTCATCACAATCCTCTTTTATTATTATTGAACTTAAAATCAGTGTGACAAGCCATGAACCACTTTATACTTAGAGAGGTTACAGTATCGTGGAGAAAAATTACAGAAGTTACGTAGATATGAAGGTTGATTCAACTTTGGAATTAGCCAATGAGCTGTGAGTTCTGACCGTGTACATTTTTAACAAAAATTTAAAAACATATAAACAATTATTATAGTATTAACGTTGTTTTTTCTATTTTAAAACGTTGTTATAGACCTCACTAACTGTACCTATTTCGTTTTGTAGGTTAACAACTTTATTAATGAATTTTTTAATAAAAATCGATTCAAGTACTCTCCTTTTAAACAAATTATCCTCTCTAACTAAAATTTTAATGTCATCATTGTTAAAATTAAACTTGTGATCATGATCCCAACAATGTTTGGAAAGTCCAGTATTTTGGTCACCTAATTCACAGCTACGTTTATGTTCATAAACTCTAGATTTGAGTCTACGTCCAGTTTCACCGATATAAATTTTATTACAATCTTTACAATGTATCAGATATATCACTCCCGAAAGATTTTCTTTACTATCTTTATCTTTAATCTTGTTAATAAAATAATTTCCCAGTTTATTATTATTTTTGAAGTATAAATTTATATTTAATCTTTTTAGAGAAGTTTTGAGTTTTTCCGACAAGGTATCTACATATGGAAGAGTAATATTTAATTTAAATTTATCAGGTTCGAATGTTTTCTTAGTTTTGTTCGAACTATTGTAAATTTGATGTATTCTTTCTTTAATGACTGAATTTATTAACGTTAAAGGATAGTTATTTAATATTAAAGTGTTTTTTACTAAATCTATATTTTCTTTTCGATAATCCTTGTCAGATAACTTTATGGCTCTATCAATTAAACTTTTTATGAGACCTATTTTTTGTGAGAAAGTGTGATGTGAGGCAAAATTTAAATACTATCCTGACCAGGTTTTTTTCCTGTACCAGTTTGTTTTAATTTTGCCTTTTTGATCTTTAATTATAGAGATGTCTAAAAAAACTTAAACTATTGTTGTTTTATATTTCAGAAGTAAATTGTATTGAGGGTTCAATGCTATTGAATGTGTCAATAAAATAGTTTAGTTTGTCTTTAGGAATTATCGTGAATATATCATCTACATATCTTTTATATACAACTGGTATGAAATCTAACCTCTTCAAAGAATTGTCCTCAATATGCTCCATAACAATGTTTGAGACTATGGGAGAAAGTGGTGACCCCATGGGACAGGCTGAAGTTTGTTTATAAAATTTATTGCTAATAGAAAAGAAAGTATTATTGAACATTGTTCTTAAAGCTATACATATCTCGTTACTTGGAATTTTAAAAAACTGATTTTTTTCCAATGTTTTTTTGTTAATAATTGTTTTTGCCAAGTTTAAAGGGATGTTATGGAACATATTAACGACGTCCAGAGAAATCATGATATGATCAGTTGGTACTATTAAATTCTTAATATCATTTATAAAACATCAAGAGTCTTTAACAAACGATGATGTATTACCTGATATAGGTTTCAAGATTCTGGATAAAAAAGAAGCTAAATTGTGAGTAGGGGAACCAGCAGAAGAAACTATTGGTCTCCACTTTAATTCTGGTTTATGGATTTTTGGAAGAATATAACATTTTGAAACTGTTGATCCTGAACATTTTAGTGAAAAAGCTGAAGACTTATTTATATAACCCTTTTTTTCCCAACGTTTTACGATATCATTGCATTTCTCTTCAACTGTGGGGACCATACTCGTTCTAGAACTTCTGTACATTTCGTTGTTATCAAACATCTCTATTGTGACGTATTTGTAATCTGTTTTGTTTGCAGCTACTGTGACATTTCCTTTATCTGCTGTAAGAAAAATTAAGTTTTTGTGTGATTTTTTAAATTTTTGAAATTTTTCTAAATTTTGAAGTTTTTTTTCTTGATATTTGATATATTTCAAATATTGTAATAGTTCATAAGTATTTGTGTTTAATTCTTTTTTTTTTAAATATTGAAACCCTCTTAATAAGTTAATGTCTTCTTTGCTGTTATTAAATAGAAGTGGTATTTTATAATATAGTAGAGGCCAATAGTTATTTTTAATTGTTCTCACAGACACATTATTTAATTCCAGGAATTGTACTTGAATTCCATGAGTAATAGAAATTTTTTTATGAACTATTCCCAACTTTATGTGACTAGTACCTTAAGATGCCCATACAATGGAATACACAGCCACACAAAAAAAAGTACCCGGGCCGGAAAATGAGACCATCATTTCTTGATGTATTTTGATGCGCTGAACACGAATCTGAAGTCCGTTTAGCTCCATCACGTCAGGATTTTGACATAACCTCAAAAAACATAGCTGATTTTATATGACAGGAGAAATTTTTTAAATAATGGCAGATTTGCTTGAATCTTGTTACTCGGGGGTTTTTGGGGGTCGCTGATTACGAATTTAACGTCAGATTTAATAAATTCAAAATGGCGGATCCAATATGGCGGACGAATTTTTAAAAAGTAGTTGGATTTTTTACGAAAATTGGTATCTAGGAGTTTTGGGAGTCGCTGATTACAAATTTATCGTCAGATTATTCAAATTCAAAATGGCGGATCCAATATGGCGGACAAATTTTTAAAAAGTAGTTGAATTTTTACAAAAATTGGTATCATGGGGTTTTTTGGAGTCGCTGATTACGAATTTAACGTCAGATTATTCAAATGTAAAATGGCAGATATAGTACGGTGGTCAAATATCTTTATGTTTCTACATGTGTCTGCATCCAGGGTACCTCCACGCGGTGACGGTGGACAACGGAGTTTGTCCGCTATCCGGCTAAGTCCCTGGATAATGGCTTTGATGCCGTCATGGCAGACACACGTAGGAAACGTATTACGATGCAGGGACTCGAAACCCCAGTATCGGCCAAGTTACATAAAAATTCAACTATTTTTTAAAAACTCGTCCGCCATATTGGATCCGCCATTTTGAATTTGAATAATCTGACGATAAATTTGTAATCAGCGACTCCCAAAACCCCTAGATACCAATTTTCGTAAAAATCCAACTACTTTTTAAAAATTCGTCCGCCATTTTGAATTTTATAAATCTGACGTTAAATTCGTAATCAGCGACCCCAAAAACCCCCGAGTAACAAGATTCAAACAAATCTGCCATTATTTAAAAAATTTCTCCAGTCATTTAAAATCAGCTATGTTTTTTGAGGTTATGTCAAAATCCTGACGTGATGGAGCTAAACGGACTTCAGATTCGTGTTCAGCGCATCAAAATACATCAAGAAATGGTGGTCTCATTCCCCGGCCCGGGTACTTTTTTTTTTGTGTGGCTGTGATATTTTTTAATTAAATCATACATATGATGATTCATATGATTAAAATAATCCTGTTTTATTAATGGATAAGCACCATACATGTTGTCGGATAACATAATGTTACTTAATACCTTTATTGATGTATTGTTCTTCTTATCTAAAAATAAAAGAATATTATTATTTAACTGTAAAATATTTATAGAATATTTGTAATAAATAAAATTGTAATCATAAATATTAAATATACTAATAAAAAAACTTATAAATGACATTAATTACTTTTTATTCCAAAAATACAACATTTGTTTAAACAACAACTTTTTTTTAAAAAACCTAATTCATGAAAAAAAAACAATAATTATATATATCACCAAATTTTTTTTTTCATTTCAAACATTGTCACTAATAATAATATATTAATATCATATTTAAATTATACGATTTATAACTATAATTCTAATATAAATTTCTTCTTATATTTTCAAAAACTCCAAGGATTGAATGACATTAAGAAGCTTATGTTCAATAGCCCAATTCTTGGCTAATTTTAAATATTCATATAATCGTATATTGTCAACATCATTATTAAATTGCGTTGGAGTAATGAAATAATTCCATGGATAGTACTTAGACGAAATTTTGAAAATATCTGAAGTTGAATCAAAAAATATGATTCTTATTCCCTCCGATATGTTTATTTTACTCGTAACTCTAGCTGGTAATGTTCGATATTTCCCGTAATTCACCCAAACAATTTCATTTTTATGGATTAACGAATATCGCGATTTCCTATTTTTATTGAAATCGATATTCTTTATTAAAGGATAAGCATTAATGTTATTATTCACTGGAAATGCATTGATTCGGATGTATTAAATTTGGAAATTGTACCATCTCCTTCTTTTGTAGTCTCTTTCTAAATTGCATTTCTTAGTGTCTTCTGCTAATAAATTTATAAAATTGATTTATATAATTCTTGATAAACTAAAGTTTTTTATAAATAATGTTAAATAAAAAAAAATTAATCTTTATTAGGAAAACGTTTATATGAAAATTTTTTAATAATTGAAAATTATTAATATACAATTTATTTTTATTATTTAATTTTTAACTGTTTCAATCTTTAATTAAAAAAAATAAATAAATTTAATGATTTACAATTAAATGAATTATATAAATTTTAGTAGAAATCACCAACTTTTTTATTTCATTGCTAATGAACAAATTAAATTGTCTTTTAACATTTCGCATAACGTTCAAAAATAGTCGAAAATTTTTTTTTTTAATTTACATCAATATAGGTATTCTTTATTAAATTGTTATTACTTGAATGAGTTTGTAATAACTCTTGTGGTGGTCCATCGTCGGTTGCTATATGATCATTATTTGATTCTTCAACATTATCTTGAGAAATGATATCGTCAGTATTAATATCATGTAAATTTCCTTCTTCATTACCTTCCTCGTTAATATCACAATGAATAATAGTCATTGTATCTGTTGATATTAATTTCATAAATTATTGATAACATTTATAATAATTATTTAATTTCATTTAATTAGCATTATTTGAATTTGTAATTTCATTTTTAATAAATGATACTTACCTTTAGTTAATTTTAATTCTTTACTTATTGAGAGTGATTGAGTAGTCGATTCTTCAACAATAACTTTGGTATTTATATTCGTAGGTTCATCATTATCATTATTTGTGTCAGTATTTGATTCCAATGTAGTTTCTAATTTCAATAAAATCTATGTTAAATTTGATTATATAATTTAAAAAAAATATTAATGTAATATATAAATTTTTCGATAAGTAATTTAAAATAATTAATAATTTACCATTTCCAATAAATAATTCAGCATTTTGATTTAATGTTACAACAGTTTGGTGACTTTGAACAATAAGATTATCTTCATTTAAATTTAATTTCTGTAATTCTGCAGTATCATTCGCATTAATTAATTTTATTCCTTCTGTAAGTACTGCAATGTTAATTTATAAATGTTATTGAAAATAGTTAAGGTTTTAATATAATGATAATTAAATATATTATTAATATTAAGAATTATTTATCATATTATTCACCGGTTTTTGACGTGACAGTCATCGAAAACGATGGTGACAAATATAACACATTAAACTTAAGTGCTATCCACCCAAAAACGTTATGCAGGCATAAAGTATTAACATGAAAACACAATAATTTTTAGTGCAACATGAATCACCGTGCTTTAAGGTGAATACATTCTCCTATTCAAAGATGGCACTTTATTTCACAATGAAATTTCACTGTAATTTAAGATGCTATAGTGTGCACTGTGATTGAACCTTCAAACTGTTTTCCGTGTATATAGAATTGAAATTTTAAATTCACTGCGTAGAAGGTGGCGCCATCTCTTAGAAAAATGTTAGTAACATAAATACAAAGTGGTACTGTAGAATGTTATTGATTTACCCATTGATCTTTTTAAAATAGCTTGATAAGGTGAACTATATGGTAACGTCGAAAGCTATCGATATACTTATCCTATGATATACTGTATTGTAAAATAAAATGCTATAGATAAATTATCATTTAAAAAAGAAACATATTTTTTATATATATTTTTTCTATTTAAATTTATTTATTTATTATTTATTTAAAAATTATTATATATAATAAATAATTTGATGAGGGTATTAAATAAATAGACAAATTTAAAATTAAAACTTATTTTTTATTCTTTATTTTATATGTTTGTATGTGTGTGTGTATGATATGATATAATATATAGAATGTATGTATGTATATATACATATATTCTTCCAAATAAACAATTTCTCTTTTTTCTATATTTTACAATATAGAAAAAGAGAAAACTTATTATTATTATTTAAAAATTATATTTAAAATAAAAAAGAAAAAATTGTTAATAATATAATATAATATGAAAAATATATTTTTTTAAATTACTTTTTCCCCCAATTTTTTTTGGGTTCAGTTCTCTTCCGAACCCATTGAAGTATTATATTCCGCCCCCCAAATGGAATAGCATCATAAGATGCAGCAGCAGCCGCTGCAGCCACGGCATGGCCTGACCTCTTTGGTGGCGGTGGAACTTGTCACCCCGATGATGATGAAGATGATGACGCTGATGATAATTTTTCTGCTTGAACTGCAGATGCTGGATTTTCCAGCAATGGACGCCATCTTGTCCGTTTAAGCGTCTTCGCAACATTCTCCTTAGATGCCATTGGAGGATGGATTACTGGACCCTATAAATAATAAAATAATTGTATAAATAACAAAATAATTTTATAAAAATTAAACATTTAATATAATAATTTTATAAATTAAACATTTAAAAAAATATGTTAAAAAAAACTCTTATGAAATTTAATCTTCTTTTTAAATTGTAATGAAAAAAAAAAATATATATATATATGTATATGTGTATATGAGATATAATTTTTAACTTACATTTTTACTCCAATTTGCTGGTAATCCTCATTCCGCGGGGTTGATTCTCCTTAAACAACGAACTTTTTTCCCATTTTCAATTCTTGGATCACTTTCAGTATTATTACACATTTTTTATATTTTTAAAAAATTTTTTTAAATATATAAGAATTAAAAAAAGAATTTTTAACTTTTTTTCACAGAAAAGAATTTACACGATGTTACTTCAGTCGTGAAACTTTTAAAAGTGACATCCCTCATTTAAGATTTTGGTGAAAAAATCATTGTAAAATGAGGGGAGGTAAAAAGTACTGGGGAAAAAATGTGGAAAAAGTATGAAAATACTAATAAAAATAGAATGTAGCCAAAAATTTTTATGATGGGGTATATGCAGGTATGCATCAAAAAAATAGAAAGTTAGGAAAAACAACGAACTATGCTGAGTTAAAGAAAATATTTATTTTACAAAACTTTGATTTTTAAATATTCATATATAAAATAGTTATATGTAAAATAAATATAATATTCCATGAAAAAAACAATAAATAAAAAGGGTAAAATTCAAAATTTCCCACCATCATTGGTGCCCTCTTTTAATATAGATCGGTAACATCAACCTATGGTAATGTGGAAACTTATCCTTCATTAGTAATCTCAAGGGTTGGTAATAGAAATTTCAAAATTCCCGCGAGCAGTATAGATATGTATTAAGAAACTGTTCTTGAAAAGGGTTATGCAAATTACATTCAAAAAAGATCCATGCAAATTAGGGAGGTGGCTAAAAGGGTAAAAGTTTAAAAAATACATATGCAAATTAGGGGGGTGGTGGGAGGCCAAGAGGGTTGAAAGTGGATAGTAATATTTAAAAAAGATATATGCAAATAACAACATCCCACCACTGAACTCCATCCCCATTTGATTCATGGACTACCAACGGGCACCGGTGACCGTACGCGCACATCTGCCGCGCACCTTTCACTTATGAGCCATCCACTGTGCGCCACCCACAGCCACCCACTCCCAACCACCCACAGTCCCGCGCGGTGTGGTGCCGTCATTTTCCCCAAATTTCAAATGTCATAATATTCATTTGACATATAGACAGTTGACATAACCAATATTTGTCATGATTTTTTTGGTCATAATTTTACTTTAGCATAAATTTTAATTGACATACTAATTATTCAGCATAATTCGCATTTGACAGAATGTTTATTTAGTATAAGTTATATTCGGTATAACTTTCAATTGTCATAATTTTTATTTGGCATAATATACATTTGTCATAATCTTTATTTAACATAATTTTCATTGATCATAATTTTAATTTGGCATAATTATCATTCATCATAAAATGTATTTGATATAATGTTCATTCGTCATAACTACTTTTTGACATAATATTTATTGTTAATAATTCTTAACTGGTATAACGCTAATTTAACATAATGACTATTGGACATAATGCTCATTTTTCATAATTCTTAATAATCATAACTGTCATTTGTAATAATCACTGTTTGATATAATGTTTATTATTAGTAATCAGCACTTAACATAACGCTTATTTAGTATAATGTGTATTTGACATAATGTTCATTTGTCATAATTTGCATTTCACATAATGCTCATTTGTCATAATTCTTATTAATCATAATTTTTATTTGTCATAATTTTTATTTGGCATAATTATCATTTAGTATAAAATATATTTGATATAATGTTTATTCGTCACATCAATTGTTTAAAAGAATGTTTATTTATAATAATTCTTAATAGGCATAAATTCTATTTAACATAATTTTTATTTGATATAACGTTAATTTGTCATAATTTACAATTCTCATAATGCTCATTTGTCATAATTCTTATTAGTCATTATTTTTATTTGGCATAATTACCATTTAGTATAAAACATATTTGACATAATGTTTATTTGTCACATCGATTGTTTAACATAATGTTTATTTATAATAATTCTCAATTGGGATAAATCCTATTTAACATAATTTTTATTTTACATAATGTTCATTTGTCATAATATGCATATTTTTTAACCGACGGAATAGCTCAGTTGGTTGGTGCTCTAGGCTTTGCGGGTGAGCGAACGAGGTTCGCGCCCCCCGTCAGCCGGGGATTTTTCCGACACGTGAGCTATTCTGAGCGGGAGGTTTGACGTCTAGGTGCGACGGTATGCATTGTCGATTAATTGTCCGATGTATACCGCCGAAACTAGACAGTCGATAAACCGGTTGTACTCAGAAGAGGTTTTTCTACAGTTTCCCTCTTCTCTGGCGAGAAAACCCAATGACGGGTGGTTCAGGCAAATGCGAGTACTCCTATCTTCGAAAGTCGCACTGTAGGCGCATTAGGTTAAAAATTTGCAATAATTTGTAGAATGGTTATGTTTCATCCATAAAAAGTATTTCTCGGGGACTCTTGTCGAGTGCGTAATATGCCAATAAGGCAGGAGTATAAACGAAAAAAAAAGAAAAAATGCATTTTTTATAATGCTCATTTGTCATAATTTTCATAAATCATAACTGTCATTTGTCATAATTACTGTTTGATATGTTGTTTATTATTAATAATTAGCACTTGACATAATGTTTATTAAACATAATTTTTATTTGACATAATTTTCATTTGTCATAATTTGCATTTCACATAATGCTCACTTGTCATAATTTTTATTTGTCATAATTATCATTTAATATAAAAAATAGAGGATATAATATTTATTTGTCATGTTGGTTATTTAATATAATTATCATTTATAATAATTCTTAATTGGCATAAATTCAATTTAACATAATTTTTATTGGATATAATGTTGATTTGTCTTAATTTTCATTTCTCATAATGCTCATTTGTCATAATTCTTGTTAGTCATAAGTGTCATTTGTCATAAGTAATGTTTGATATAATTTTTATTTTTTATAATAATTACTTGACATAATATTTATTTAGCATAATTTAAGTTTGACATAATATTTATTTAGCATAATTTAAATTTAACATAATGTTCATTTGACACAATTTTCATTTCACATAATTCCCATTTGTCATAACTTTATGTGTCAACTATTTTTTGTTGTATCTTCCCATCCTTGGTTTTTTAATTAGTAGTTTGTGTATGTTGGTAAAGTAGATTAGGTTGCGCTGTCTAATATTTCTGAAATTAATTCTATCTTGCTTTTAAATATGAAAAATTACTTTTTTTTTAAAGTTACAATTTTAATATTGTACAATTTTTTAATGTCATCATTATTAATATTAATTGTCATATTATTTTTAAAAAAATGTAATTGAATTGTATTTTTAATTTTGTGTGTATTATACACGTATAATGTGTGCAATATTATTTTATGTTCTTACAAGTTTTCTTGGTGCAATTAAGGTTTTAAAACAATTAAGGAAGGTAAGTTTAAATATTTATTTTTTATTTTATATTTATATATTTTTAAGGATAAGTTTTTTGAAAAGAAAATAATTAAAATTAGTTACTAGTAAGAATTTTATTTTCAAATAATATGATTATATTTTTTAATTATAATCATAGGTGTCTCTAGTATTAAGGGGGGAACACCAGTTGTAACTTTCGAAAAATCGATTTTTTTGTGCATTTTCTTAAAGTATACATATTTAGAAATGTGTCTGTAAATTTGCAAGTTGATCCGGTGAAAAATAAATGAGATATACAGAACACTGCAGCGGCGCGTCCCGTGGCTTCATACAAGGTGGCCAGCCGTACCTGACCCTAACGACACATGGCCTTTTCCTATGATCCTTCACTTCTGT